CGGAAGTGGTCAGGGTCCACATGACTGGGTCCAACCTCCTCATCTTCCTCCATTGGTCCTTCACGTTTGTACGCAGAGGGGTCGATGGGTCCGTACGCATCCTGCGCAGTGGATCGGAAGTGGTCAGGGTCCACATGACTGGGTCCAACCTCCTCATCTTCCTCCATTGGTCCTTCACGTTTATATGCAGAGGGGTCGATCGGTTTATAGGCATCCTGCGAAGTGGAGCGGAAGTGATTAGGGTCTACGTGATGGGGTCCAACCTCCTCATCTTCCTCCATTGGTCCTTCACGTTTGTATGCAGAGGGGTCGATGGGTCCGTAGGTGTCCTCCGTGGTGGTGTGGTAAATTTCTGGTGTGTGTGTCATATGATATGGTTCTTTTTGTACTGGAGGAGGCGGTGGTGGAAGTCCACGGAACTGATAGGAGTCCTCATACTCCGAGTGGAGTTTACCTTTATGTAGCCCTTCAAATTTAGACATTTGTTTTTTTTTTGTTTCCTTGAGGTATGATTCTTTGTTAAATCTTTGTATCTAAATGGTAAAGAGCAAGATTAGGATGAGCGGTTTCTTGCAGAATATAAAGAGTGGTATGTGATGAAGATGTATAATTAGCAGTAGAGCATTTTTAATTAGTTTGATATTCATGTTATTTACATATTTTTGTTTACATAATTTTAGGAAGTGTCGGCTGTTCTCTTGTGGTCCTGATCGCCTTGGTGCATCATATTACGTTGAAATTGATAACATTCCACGGGAGCATCCATCATGGTTTTGGTGGTGCTGAAATGTCCGTATATATTGTCATCCGCTGTTGGGTTAGCTGTTCCTTTGGAATGCTGGTCGCTGAACGTCCGCTGCGGTATTCCATCAAATGAAGTTTTGTTTTTGGTGGGCGAACAACTAGAAGTTTTGTAATTTGAAGTTATTGCAGTACGCTGGGATGCACCGTAAGTTGTGCTCGTCGGGACTCCCTCGAAGGTTGTGGGTTTTCCGGTTCCAAACATGAGTTCTTTTCCAAGTCCTCTGCGTCGCATCATTGGAGCATTAGATGACGCTTCTGGTTTAACGTAATCACTTGCATAGATAGAGGTGGATGGCCCGACCTGGTGATCCATCGCAAGGGTGAACAAACGGCCAGTCGCATCGTAAATGCGACTCTCCTGCCAGTTTTCGATAAGAACCCCATTGTTGTAGTGATTGTCGAAGGAAGGTAGACTACGGTCGCCAATATCTGGTTTCTTGGACATTTGTACCTGTTCTTTTTTTATTCTTTTGTCTGTATTATGTGTTTTATACACACTCTAACTAAAGCAAGGTATGATTTTGGTCACACCTGCTATAACCCACAGAGTTCAGGAAAGGAATCAACTTATTTGATTAGAAGAAAAAAAAAAAGAGAGAGAGAGAGAGTAGAGGAAAAATGGAGTTCAATTGGTTTTGCCGAAAATAAAAAGAAATGAGGGAATCCCTTCACACTTAAGTTAAGCGTAGAAGGAAAATCAATAAAAAAAAGAGTCCAGCTGAAGAAGTTAAGAGTATCAATCCTTTAAGAAAGATTTTTTTTTCTCATATATACTCTGGATTTTAATCGATTGTATCAACACCACATGTAATAGCTTTCTTTCTTTATATATATATATATATATATATATATATATATTTGGATTGATGCTTCTGTTGTCACGCACAGCTTCTAGTTCGCTTTTTTGTAGACTTTCCTTTTCCTTTGGTTGGTCTTATACCTTCCGTATTCTCTTTCAGCGAAGATGCTGAGGAAGTGATAGTTGTTTCGTGTTCTGAACTCATTTTCTTTGTACGACTCGCTACATCATGTGGTTCTTGATCACCATAAGACTGAGCTTTTTTTGCTGCGGCATGTGCTTTTAAGGTTTCCACACGTCGGCCAAACTGTTCTTCTACCTGAAGTTTTGCCTGCACTTTTGCCGCCGAAACTTCATCCAATAGTTTCAAAACCCCTTTCTCATTGACACCCTTGGATTTCCAAAGTGACAAAGTGCAAGAGAGTCTTTTCTCAAGGCGACGCACTAATTGGACATCGTACTCTGTAACAAAAGCTACTGAGAGACCTTCACGACCTGCACGCGCTGTGCGGCCAACCCGGTGCAGGTATATGGGTGTCTGCTTAGGTAGGTCGTAGTGCAGAACTAATCCCACAGCAGGGATGTCAAGTCCACGACTTGCAATGTCAGTTGCCACTAAGATGCGGGCAATGCCTAATTTAAAGGTTGCCAAGTTATCCACTCTGTGTTTCTGGGATATGATAGAATTAAGACTACAGACAGGGAATCCCAATAACTGCAATGTAAGGCGGACAACTTCACAGCGCATACATGAGTTGGTAAAAACAATAGTCGTCTGTTCAGGACCTGCGCTGCGAAGAGCGGCGACGAGGTACGCCATCTTTACCATATCTGGTATAAATATATATTTTTGCTGCAGGGAATCAGCCACACGGTGGGAAACGACAGTATTTCCCATCTCACCTTCTGTGAGCATAACAGTATTAGTAGCGAACACCTTCAACTGCTGTTCTGCGTCAGTTATGCCGAGACGCGGCAGCCACCCGTCCTCCTCCACGTGGGTGAGGCGGGGCTCGAGAGTGGCGGTGAAGAGCAACGTGCGGCGGGCTGCGGAGGCGGGGGGGAGGCGCTCCACCACCTCCGCCACGTCCGGCTCCAAGTCGTCGCTGGTGAGTCGGTCTGCCTCGTCCAGGACAAGAAAACGGAGGTGCGTGAAGGCGCGGCGGGCCTCCGGGAAGGTGGCCAGGATGAATTTCAGGCGCCCCGGCGTCGCCACCACAACGTGTGGGCGGCCACCCAACGCCTCGAGCTGCGAATCGTGGTGGACGCCGCCAATGATGAGGGCTGTGCGGATGTGGAGCGGGGCGCCAAGGGCCATAAATTGATCCACAATTTGGTATGCGAGCTCGCGGGAGGGGGTTAAGACAAGGGCAAATACACCGTAGAGGTCTTCGGCGAGAATCTGTAGTAATGGAATCGCAAAGGCAGCAGTTTTACCACTCCCAGTAGCTGCACCACCTACTACACATTTACCGGATAGGATAGCAGGGATACAGAAAGATTGAATGGGTGTTGGTCGGTGGAGAGCCATGTAGGCGCATTGTTTCGACAGCCACTGGTGAACACCCAGCTGTTCAAACTCACTCATTGATATCCTTCCTACTCTTGTTGTACCAAATATTTAGACAAGAAGGTGAAGGTAAAGGGCAACAAATCAATTTAAAAGCAAACAAACAAACAAAAAAACCTCCCTCATTAACCAATTAAAAACGAAAGTGTGTACATTCAAAAACACGTAAAAAGAAAATGTGATTATACCAAATATCCGTTTTTTTTTTTTTTTTGTCTTTTCGTCATGCTTTTCTTCTCGCCCTGTTATTCATTAGCATGATTCCTTTTCATTCTACCGTTGTTCAAATTTTTGACACTTTCGCTGCTTCTCCCCAAATAACAAAAGTGGTTTTTCTTTTTCCCCATCCTTATTTAATCAATATTACATGGTAGATGGGAAAACCAATCATTATAATAATAACAATAATAATAAATTATAATAATAATAATGATAATAATAATTAAAATAATATATAAATTAATAATAATAATAATAATAATAATAATAATAATAGCGCATAGATAACGGTGTAATTGGAAATATCATTACCCTGACTTCACCCAAGAAAAACATACATTCTCTAAAATCTTTTGAAATACCAAGATTATTTTCCTTTTCCCTCCTCTACGTAGTAAAAAAGATGATTTTTCCTTTTTTTCCCCCCTATGCAGTTAAATGCACCGCCCCAAAACATAAAACCTTATAGGCTGGATTCTGGCAATGTATCCACTTTATTTCCATTAAGATAGAAATAGGACGGTGTGCGCATGGAGCAAAGTTCTTCTGCACTTGTAGGGTGTACACCAATTGTATTATAGAAGTCACTGATCTTTGCATTTAACTTCATGCAGATACCGACACCCTGAATAATTTCAGGAGCGCTATCGCCAAGAAGATGTACTCCAATTACTGTTCCATCACTGTGATCTGTAATGATCTTCACCACAAACTTTTTGTACGTTGATCCACTGATGTTATGCATAAGTGGTGTAAAGGTAGAAAGATATACTGCCACCTTTTCATACTTCTTTGCAGCTTCTTCCTCAATAATACCACATGTTCCAATTGGTGGAATTGAAAAAACTGCGCTTGCCACACGTGTGTGATCTGTTTTGCGTGGTTTATTACCGAATATGGTATCAATAAGGGCAGCACCTTCATTGATGGCCACTGGTGTGAGCATAATACGATGTGTGACATCGCCAACAGCGTAAATATTTGGAACGTTCGTGCGGGAGAACTCATCAACTTCCACAGCACCATTTTTAGTTGCCACACCAGCCTTTTCAAGTTGTAAGGTGGATGTACGAGGAAGACGACCCACTGCCATCATAATTAAATCAAAATCCATTGTTTTGCCACTTTCAAACGTAACACGTTTACTGCCATCTGGGTTGAGCTCGATCTTTGCAGGATTTTCTTTTGTCATGATGTCAATACCATTAGCTGTGAGTTGTTTTGTAAGTTCTTCACGTAGAGTGTTATCAAATCCACGAAGAATCAAATCTCTGCGGTAGCAAAGTGTCACCTTACCTCCTGCCGGTTTGTATGCATTGAATATTCCAGCAAATTCAACAGAAATAAATCCACCACCAACAGTAAGAACCCGACGTGGTACTTCTGGTAGATAGAATGCCTCATTGCTGCTGATGCAGTGTTCAATACCAGGAATAGATGGCATCTGGGGCCATGAACCAGTAGCAATGAGTACATGAGCCGCTTCCAAGCGTTCTTTAACAGGACTTGAGGGATCAGAAGTCTCATGAACTGCGACAACATTCTTAGATTCAAATGAACCCCATCCCAAGAAAAATTCAAGACCCTCCGTCTCTTTAAACATACCTTCATAGCTCTTGTTGATATCCAAAACAGCCTTATCCTTTGCTGCAATGAGTTTCTGCCAATTTGCCTTGATTGAAGACTTGTCCATTTCCCACCCAAAGCCGGCTGACTCACGAAGTTCATCCATGTAATGTGCTCCAGTAACCATTAACTTTTTCGGGACACAGCCAACATTTACACAAGTACCACCAAGTGCGGCGTAGAATGGTGGACCATGTACCATTTGTACATCAATAACTGCAACACGCTTCTTGTAAAGAGCTGCAGCATTCCAGCCGGCCTCCAATCCGCCTGAACCGGCACCAATAACGATCAGATCAAACACTTTTGACATAAGTAATTGAGTTAAGCGGATAATTTTCTCGGTGGTTACCCGTGATGTTTGAAATAAATAAGAAAACTAGACTAGCGTAGAAATAAGAATCAAGCTGTATATCTTTCCTACCAAATATATACACACATACATACATACACAAAAAAAAAAAAAAAAAAAAAAAAAAAGCAAAAAAAAAAAAAATCAAATATAGAACAAATGTAGAAATAGATAAAATGCAAAATAAAAAAATAAATAAATAAAAAAAGAGAGTAACCCCAATCTTATAATAGATTGGAATGAACAGTGAGTTCTCCCATCCATATATTATTTTTATAGTTTTGTGAATTGTTTCTCCAATCCTTCTCCCTTTTGCTCCCTTCAACGGTCTAATCATACTTTCAAGAAACAACATACTACTTAAATACACCACGTGGCATCTTCGGTCCGTTCAGTGGAATTGGAGTGATATCTTCAAAATAACGCACGTGAAATTCATTTGCACGATCCTGTACAGCACGTACCGCTCCTTGACGACCATTATAAAATCCCATTACTCGTACAACAAGTTCAATTTTCTCACCGCGTCCAATAGGACGTCCCTCACTTGCACGCATTTCACGCAATTTTGGCAACAAATCATTCAAGTACATACTCGTTACTTGATGACCGTTGTCGGTAGATCCATCACTGCGGAAACCGCGATCGCCACCTTTGAGTCCTCTATTACCTGCCGTATATGTGGGAAGAATACGTTTGCCTTCATACGTATATGCTACCGCATATGTATTACGTCGACGTGAGACAAGATAAAGAAATATCATGTCACGTGTGTACTTAGGCATCTCCCCCCACATATCAAGTTGACTGTAGTCTGTTAACCCTTGCGGCATTTCACTATTTTTAACGAGGGAATATCCAAATCGACTCGTAAAGTAATCATTACCCAGCACCCGTGGTGGTAAACTACTCTCGCTCTCAGTTTTTGTAATTTCCGCCACTCTGACACCATTACCTTGTTGGAGACGTCTTTCTTTCTCTTCTTCTTCATACCAAACTCGCTCGTTAAATGCACGCTGCTGCTGTGACACATCGTTTTCCATAAGGCGTCGCATTTCCTCTTTAACAGCGTCCTCTGTGCTACGATTAGACATTGACTCCCAGTCCATCTGTGGAAGTCTCGCTGCAATAGTGGATTCTACTTTTCCAGCACCATCTTCAACATCCTGTTGAGTGAGCCGGTCATTTGTGGAACGAATGAGAAAATCACTAAAGTACTGTTGTCCACCTTGCTGTGGTTTCAACAACGCTGGTACACGACGATACTTGTCCAGGAACATACCAGCCCTTGGACGAGGTTTGCCCCGACGCAGTAGGGTAAGTGAAACACGCATGACGGATGCCTACCCCAAGAGGAACCTCCTATATACACCTGCACATCATATAATTACAGAAAGAATGGAAGTAAAAAAAAA